TATTATTAGCACTATGCACAAGTTTATAATTGACATTCTTAAAAATTCCTTTTAGACCACGGGATAACTCTCTATCAAACGGTATCGAAAAATATTTAGACGTATCTTTCTCCACTTGAAAAGTCGAATTTTCAGAAATCATTAACCTATACCTACGTTTTCTAATTAATTTAACTATATATGTATATGAAATAGAAAGAGATTACATTAGGAATGTAGCTGAGTGTAATGGATATTCTCCTTCACTAGTTGATAAATTAATTTAAATGTCAATATTCCATGGGTATAGTGATAAATGAGGTCTAAATTATAAGAAAATGCATTTTCTACGAAAACTTAAAGAGATAGGTAAAAATGGTATAATATAATTTGATAGACAATTAAATTGTACATCTAATTCTTATAAAATGTACAGGGTGTTCCATTTAAATTAAACAAGTTATTGTCGTTAAAAGCTAGTAATTATATAAAATAAATTTTTGGACACTCTATATAAGGTAGTAAAAATTTTATTATTGCTACATAATATCTGATCAATATATAATCTTCAGTAAATATTTAGTTTTAAAAACTTTGAAACCCTTGGAGAAATGAAGTCTTATGAATTTTAACTGCAATTTCACAAAATTGAAAATATTTCAAAAACGGTAAGGTTTAAGTGTTATAAACCTTAATCAAATCTACCTTTATTTCAATCGTAGAATCTAAAAATAGAATAATATACAGGGTGTTCCATTTAAAAAAATACAACTATAATATTTTTTACTTATTTGTACACTCTGTATTGTGTAAAAATATTTTTAAATTGTAACTCTAATGGTCCTTCAACGAACCCAAAACTTACAATTTGTAAAAATCTAATTGTTTAGCTACAATACTCCGTGTCGTATGTGGTGAACAACCCTGTATATTTTTTCTGTTTTTAATTGTTTTTTTAATCAATTCATTCTGTTTAATGCAGCAAGATGAATCGGTACAAAACACTTAAGAGAAATACCGTACTTATGCATATAACATATCCTGTTTGGGCGTATAGATGATGAATGTTAGCGATTGATTGTCAATGAATATATGTAAATATTGGACGGGACACAATAATATGCCGTGGTGTCGAAATTGACCTACCGACTGAATGGTGACTGGTAGTTGTAGTAGGAAGATGCAATTAAATGATAGTATTGTAATTAGTTTGAAATTAATGGCTCAGGCATTGAGTAACAAATGTTATGTTTTTATGTTTAGTTTAAATGTTGTTTGTATATGACTTTTTCTCCTAAAAACATTTCTTACCTTAGAATAATAGGCCTTCAAATACTAAGTTATGGTAAAAACTTGAATTTTTGATATAAGTTGTGAAAGATTTTTTTTAAATTCACCCTCGAGAAGGGGTGAAATAAATAAATAAAATTATTTTTATAAACACTTTCTTTATATTTTATGTATTTATAAAAACACTTTCTTTATATTTTTCACCCCTTCTCGGGGTGAATTAAAAAAATCTTAATTGAAATTTATAATTTTTAAACAATTTGAATAAAAATGTTAAATATCTGAATTTTTCAGCAACTTATACTTTTTTAAAATTTCTACTATCATCCCCTAGCTTAGTCTTGTTAAAACCGTAGTAGTACCAAAGGTAGTACCGTTGATTGAAAGAACTTATTTCCTTCAATCAACGGTAGTACATTGTTAGAACCTTCAGACAAATAATATAGACAAACCTTACTGTGGAAAATGAAGGTAACTTCAAACTATGCATTTTCGAACCCATGTTTATACCGGGTAGAGGGTGCGTCTCAAAAGTTTCTCACCCCTATAACTCTTTTATTTTTTCAGTTAAAAAAATGAGATTTGGTATGTTAGTATATGACATAAATTGGGATTGATTGACGTATTCAATTGTTTTTGGTCACTTCCTGTTTCACCGTAAACGACTTTTGATTTTTAAATGGCACTCTCGGTATTTTTTACTTTATTCGATAGAAAATGACATTCTGAATAGAATGACATATAATATGTCAACTTTTGACATTCTTGCTTAATAATAAATCGTATTTTAAAATTCAATCTAGAGTGCCATGGCTATGTTAAAAACACTAATTCTTAATCAAGTAGTCTTGGAAAAATAGATTTGATCGTCTAATGTTTTTAGTGTCTTATCCTGGCCAATTATATAAAAAATGCTCAAATCATATTTTTAATCATACCTCAATTTGTTCAAATGGAACGAGAGTGGCTCATTAACATATTTGGAAAAAGCATTTTTTTACGAATAATTTGATACCACACACTTGGTATTTCGAGTCAAATTTTCGTAACGAACCGCAAGTTATAATTTCAAATAAACCATATGCGAAAATGTCAAAAGTTGACATATGATATGTCATTCTATTCAGAGTATTATTTTCTATCGAATAAAGTAAAAAAATACCGAGGGTGCCATTTAAAAATCAAAAGTTGTAGTAATTTCCGGTGAAACAGAACTAATTTATGTCGAATATTAACATACCAAATATCGTTTTTTAACTCAAAAAATAAAAGAAGTTATAGTGGTGAGCAACTTTTGAGAGGCATCCGGTATACCACTTTTTTCATATTTTTTGATGAGACATCACCTCTGAAATTTACCGTGCATTTTTGCACGTGTATTACATTTTTCATCTTGTATAATCTGAAAATTACATAATCTGTTCAAGTTCAAGTCATAATAAAAAAATAATTCAACAACAACACACACAATTTTTTACAAACAATATTGCACTTATCGGCAGCACAGACACACGGCTCTGATCGATTACCAACATAATTATTCTAATTAACTGCGATTAATCAGCCGCGGCCAAGGTGTCCTTACCCACGCCTCTGGACGGAACGATGCCGGGCGCCGCCCCTGTATATCCGATTCCCTGAAACGCGAGCTCGAGATTGGCAATCGTAAAAATAATTATGACACCCGTCATAAATACATAATCGAATGCGACATTAACGCATTGCGTAAAACGCGGATAAAGCCGACCGCATACGACGTGACTTGTCGTACGACAAGTTGGGTAAACTGTAGGGTTGTAAATGTTACGGTGAAATTTGGAAATTCAGTAAATGGTTAACAATTACGCAGGGGACCAGTAAATATTGAAGTAAGTTATAAAGGAAATTGTCGACTTTTACTAGTAATTGTTAGCAGTCGCTATAGTCTGTCCAACGAGAAGATCCTTGACAGTGATAGATGTGTCTGTCATTTTAATTTCAAAGTAGTTTATTTTATTTTACAAAGAAATAAGTTGGTACAACTGGAACGCATAGCGATATATTTAAAATTTGATTGACAAGATGACAAGTGATTACTTCAAAATATTTAAAAAAACTGTATAAAACTGAAAAAATGTAATCGAGTTATTTTATTTAATAAAAACGGTATGTGTTAATACAAAACAAACAAGAACAAGACACTACATATCAAAGAAATATAAAAAAGAACTATTATTTACTTTCAAGCTTTATGAAACTACCCGCATTTATGATTAAATTTATCAATATAACTTATGTACAAATACAAATTTGTAATATTCCACAGGAATAAATAAAACAACATAGGTAAATAAATCAAACTATTTTATTAATAATAACACCTACCAAATTTTATACCTTAAAGGTTGATTAATTAACTTTAATCTTAATTTTTTTAAACCAGTACCTTTTGACATTATTTTTCTGCAGTACTAAAATCCATTATTTACCTATCGTGTGATGTCGATATTTTACAGCTACTCCAGTTTTTAGTATGTGTTTAGTTTGATCCTTCTACCATATACGAGATGGCACTTATCTACGACGAAATGGTATACAAACTTTATCGATGGCAACATTCATTGGTGTATAAGACTTTCTGCCTGGGCAGCGAGTATTAACCATAAACTGTGCTCTGGGTCTACAGTTAATTTTCACTCGATTTTTCCTCCACTTGACTTCAAAAGACACAAAACACACGTAATAATACGAATCAAAATGCATCATCTTCCAAAACGCAGGGTATTTAACAAAAGTTGACACAAAATTATAACCTATAATTTGGCAAGACTTTGACAAGCGTCAAAAATGACAAAAATCTGAAGGCGAGTTCATACGCATCGGCGTCCGTTTGTCGTTCATCGTTCCGTCAAACCAATAAAATTGAAATACGATCTGTCATTTTTTAAATAAACCAATAAAACTGGTTAAAAACAACAAGACACGACGTATGACGGATTTATATTTAAACCCATCCATAGATAACTTAAAAATGATTAGAAACTTTTTTTAGTAAAATAAATAGATTGGTATGGGACGTCATCTGCTTTTCTTCTGTCATCGTCTGTCGAAATCTTACCTGAGAAAAAAAACAGAGTATAGTATCAGTAACAGTTACTAAAAGTTGTCAGTGAAAGTCATTCTATTGTACCATGCGATCGACAAAAAAACGGCGTCAAAGTCCGCTGGGGAATGACAATCAATGATAATTTTGGCAATTTGAATCCATTTTTGCTTTTGATCAAATCGGTATGAGAAGTTGTGAAGCTATAAAATGTTGTTTCGGGAGTGTTGAATATCCGGCAAAGTTGAGTTATTGAATGCTATTGAAACCTAACCTAACTGCGTGAAATACAGAGTCGAAAATGTCTGATTTCTGCCGTATCTAGCGCTGCGTTCGGAATTTTTAAAATCAACTGAAATTATGAATAAGATAAAATGTGTTATAATAAAATTAGCACAAAAGAAGTTAATAATACCATCAACATAGAAAATCCAAACCTATTAAGGTACATTTCTTTCCACAGTTACAATATCTTTTAGAGAAAATATTTAAATTTAGTATTTTATTTAAATATTGCCACTATCCCTCCCAAACTCAGTATCTAGATAAGCCACTGTTAAAGAGGTTGTACTGTAATTGTTAACATTCAATGATTTGTGACTATTACTGTAACATACATAAATAAAAAAGAGTTTCACATTGTTTTCAGATGGCTTTCGGACGAAGAGACGTCTCTAGGAACAGGAACTCCTGGGGACCGATATCCACGGTGGCCTTGAGTTTTCCAAGGCCAGATCCGGACGAGGAATTTGCGGAAGAGTACACGGAAAGGATGATGTCCGCTCAGATGAGACAACTGGACCCACTCAAAGAAGATTTGGCTGATTGGTTGAATAAGATGCTCGGTAAGTTTGTTTCCATATACAATGAAAAAATGAAAATATTTATTTATTATAAATCTTAATGGTACAATTATTTAAATTATTAAAGTGAATACAAGAGGCATCCAACTTTTCGTCTCTAAGAGAAATGCAAGTTGTAGGAGTCGGAATAAGTAAATTTCTTGTACTGGCAATGCTGGTAGCTTCTGCTTCTACGTGAACTGCTTTTAATTTCTTATTTGGCGTATCTTTCTGTCCCATGACATGATTCTTTTTGCTATTTCGGTTTTCTGTTCAAAGGTTCAATTGAATTTTCAATGTAACCTTCAGCAACCGAGCTTGATCGCCAACCTCCATCTCGCTTTGAAACTGTTATGTCCGCTCCTGAATCTGCCAGCATTGTTGCAGGGCTGCGAAGGAAATTGATACCATCTATTGGTCCCTCAGTAATCGTAAACACTCCTGCAAAATGAGCTTTTATATTCGGAATCTTCACACTAATAAATGACTGACAATCTTTAATGGCATCTACGGTCAAAAACGTGATAAAAAAATACTCCAACGATTAATTTAACTTTAGCTAACAGGAATTTTTTGTCATCGGCTTCTTTCATAAAGTGTTCTATTTCCAGTTTGGTAAATACTTTTAATTTCTTTGCCTGAAGCTTTTCTTTTTAAAAATGCAATAAGGTTTGTGAATTTGCTAATATCTACGTTTCTGTTCAGGTAAATCATGGTGTGGAGCATCGAATATTTACTCCACAGAGTTCACGGCTTTAAGGTAGTGATTAACTTCAGGAAATAGGCTAGCCTAACCAAACCTTTTCTGTGAATTTCTCATAGACTTAAAATAAAATATAGACTACACTATTTACATCTCAACGCGGACAAACAACCTTTTTTGTACACATGTTTACTTCTGGGTACAGTCGACCGAGCCTTCCTCATCCAGCCTATGTTGTCACGTCTTTAATATTATCAATATTTTTTTTCTTGTTATACACATATATTGAGATATTAATACTACAGTTTAATAAAGTAGGTTTTAATATTCCAGAGATGTATTAAATAGTCCTTATACTACTAAATTATAAGTCGGATACTGTTTAAAAAGGATAAGTTCTTTACAATATGACAACACCGATTAGAGGCGAGGGAGCCTATTCATTCATTTATTACCTTGTAGTACGTGTCGCACGTGTGCGGTAAAGCTTTGTTGCCGCTATCTCCCCGGCTGTATTAACGCATTTTCTTAGCTTGTAGTGCTTAAGTGTTTATTTTATTGACTTTTTCTGTTCAAGAACTATAAAATATGGTTCGCCAGTGCCAAATTTGCAAGAAATTTGACTTAAATAATCCATTTAAGTCTTGAAACGACTTTTGACCGGTAGGCAACTCTCAATTTACCCATTGGGAGTCAGTGGCGTTGTTGTAGAAAGGCGCTTATTTAGATAATATTTTAGTAAAATGTAAAATCTGAATTTTTTCTCTTACATTACATTATTTACTTACTTACATTGTAACAAAATCATAATTATAACCCTGTTAATAATTAATAATGTTTTTATTAAAAATATATTCCGGTTTATTCTAAAATTATCTTCAGAATCTAAAATAACATACAAGAATTTTAAAATGATATTACATTATGAAACAATATTTTTTAATATACCGGGTCGTCTCAAAAGTGGCTAACCCTATAACTTTTTTATTTTTCAGATAAAAAACAGATTTGTATGTTAGTAGGTATATGACATAAATTAGGATTTATTGACGTATTCAATTGTTTTTGGTCTCTTCCTGTTTCACCGAAATGATTACATCTTATCATATGTCAACTTTTGACATTGTCGCTTAAAAACATATCCTATTTTAAATTTCAATCCAGTTTTTTTCAATCCACTAAGTTTTAATCAAGGAGCCTTGGAAAAATAGTTTTGATCGTCTAATAGGTTTCGTGTCTTGTCTAGGCCGGTTAAAAAATGTACAAATCGTATTTTTAATCATACATATGTCAATTTTTTCAAATGGAACAAGGGTGACTCATTAGCATATTTGGAAAAAGCATTTTTTATGAATATATTGATACCACACACTTGGTATTTCGAGTCAAATTGTCGTTATGAACCGCGTGTTACAATTACAATTAAACCATATGCAAAAATGTCAAAAGTTGACATATGATATGTCATTCTATTCAGAGTGTCATTTTCTATCGAATAAAGTAGAAATATACCGAGGGTGCCGTTTAAAAATTAAAAGTTATAGTCATTTCCGGTTAAAAAGGAAGTGACCAAAAACAATTGAATGCGTCAATCAATCCTAATTTATTTCATATACTAACATACTAAATCTTGTTTTTTTATTTGAAAATATAAAAAAATTATGGGGGATGAGCCACTTTTGAGACGCACCTGGTATAATAAAGACAGTACCGAGTTAAATAAATGTAGTTTTTATTTTATCACCTTCCTTGCTTTAATGGAACAGATTTATGTTTTCTCTAATTTACATAATAAGACATCACTTAACCAGAAACAAAATTACAACAATCATATTTTTTTTTCTCTCCCTGTCGCCGATTCTATTATATCTGTGGAATAGATCCTGTTTTGATTAATATTAGGGGTTGTAAATGTTTGACTAAAATTAATAATTTATTATTAATTTCAAAAATTACCTAATTTCAATTATAAAATTTCTTCTATAACGTGTATTTTATTATTTTTATCCTTTTTGGACTCTAAATTGTTTTTTCTAAACTTATATTTAAAAAACCTGTCCTAAATCTTAATAAAATATAAAAAAGTTTAAATACGATATATTTTTAATTTAATTATAGCTTCATTAAAATAAAAAAATTACCCGGCTATGATACGGAGAGTTCAGGTGTACTTGAGAAACGAAAGTTTGTGTTGTGTTTCTCGGCAGAGTCGTCAGGGAACGACCGTTACGACAGAGACAACCTATCTATCGCTCGTGTCGCACTCGTTATAACCTAAAACAATAACACAACAATAACAAGACAGTGTCTGGCCGCATGTTCCAGCTATTTATGAATGAGATGCTCAGTCTATATTTTATTTTAAGTCTATGGAATTTCTCAACATGTTTTTCTTTGACCCAGGTTTCAAAGTTGTTGTAGGTGGTCCCGTATATGTTTTTCGACTTACTTTCGATAGCGCAGTTTCTGCAGCTCGTTGAATATCCAAAGACTCGTCATTATCACTCATTTTCTCACAAAACTTTATATGAAATACGGCGACGTTTGAACCTAACAGAACTTTGTCATTAAACAATGCATAAACACTACCTTAATTCGTTGCGAAAAGAGTGTTTTAAGTACGGGACGGAAAATTGTCCAACGAGGCCAAAGCCGAGCCGTTTGAAAAAAATAAGATTTTATGATTTTGTCTGGGGTAGGTAAAGCCTTATGACCTACATTATATGCACGCCTCTGCCACTAAGGGATATGAATAGTACTTTTTTAAACTATTTATCGTGAACGTAAATGGTTCTATTATAAACTTTGACCCGACCTGACCTGAGACAATATTGTTCTTTCGTTTAAAAACGGATACTTCCCTAGTTTCCGCTGTTGCCATTGTTGCCCCAGTTCCCGCGCTCTGCACTGGACACGCCCATTGCATAACCTGCGGGGAACTTGATATATTCATAAACTGTTACGCTGTTGCAACATTTATGGGTTTCGTAGATATTAACGAACACATTTTTTTCATAGATAATCAGGACTGCATTGTTTAATTGTATTTTTGTTTTTATTCACTCATCTCTATAAGCGAAAAGTTCATACCAATACCGAAAAGATCCACCACCTCCTCTTAATTTATGAATTCCTGCTCTTTCTTCTTGTTTGTTTATAACCTCCTCCTCCTCTGAATATGGGGTGACCTCCTCTCTCGGAGGAGGTATCCCATAAACTCACTACTCCTGTTATTATTGTATCATACCTTCCTCTCATTCTTTCTTTGCGATAAAGCACATTTCATACACGTTTTCCATGCATCAAAAGCTTATTTTGATATACAAAAAAAATGTTTCATTTCTTAATTTCCTTTCAGCCGATGCACAAATGATTTCCACTAAACAGTCACCGCAAACATCATATTTTCAGCGATTTAACCCTGAAATAAACTGACCTTAATTTTTTAAGCAAAAACTATGCGTAGGACGAAAAAAATCAAGAGATAAAAAATGTTTAGAAATGAATGGAGATTTTGAAAATAATTTTTATTTTAAGAGAAGTCAGTGGTGTACCACTTTTTTCTCCAAAAATATTCAATGTAAAACCCGTATGAACGGCACTGGTTGAAATAAATAAAATTCTTTGTACACCAAAAAAGGTATTTTGATGTATAAAGACGTGTATCAAGTTTCATAAAGATATCTGTAATAAAATTAGAGTTTTATAAAAAGGAGTTTTTTTTAGAAAACTTTACCACCCTGTATTTCAGAAATTAGGATGTTTAGGACATACATTCATATGAATGTTTTCTCTGAGAATAGGTCCAAGAATCACGCCCTTAAATATTAGCATGTCATTAATGAATACCCTGTATAACATGGATAGCATTAAACTTTTTCATTAATCTTTTTAGGATTTTTCCTTGACTCCTTCTTAGTGAAAATACCTCCAGGCTATAGCAATGTGGTGGACTGGTTCATCAGAGATATTTTGACAAAAAATTAGAAAATTTTACTATCCTGTATCTAAAAAGTTAAGATGTTTAAGACATATATTTATATGAAGTTTTTTTCTTAGACTAGGCCCAAGAATAACCTTCTTAAATATTAGCATGTCATTAAGGAACACCCTGTATAAACCTATCCATAGTTTCAACTTAAAAATAAATAAATGCCATTATTGTCAAAAAAAAAATACAATTTGTAGACAAAGGTAAAGTAAACAAACAAAAGAGAATACAAAACAAGTATACAAATTACATCGTCAGTCATATTGTTTAAAATTTATAAATGTTTACAATGTCAAAGAATAAATAAAT